ATGACATTTATGTTTACACATACAGGGCAGATCTCTTAGGCGTACGTAATATTTCCAATATTTATTAAGCACAATATTCATTTGTAATAAAGTTGAAGAGATCCAGATAATACCCGCAGCTCGCTCTGATCTGATATCTTGCTTAAGCATTAAATAATCCTTACATTCATTATTTATATAAATATTAATATTAAATATTAAAATTATTTCTTAAATATCGAATATTTCGCGTAGGCATTTAATTTCCGACCTTCAACTCCCTATATTTTGTAATTTCTATTTCAGGCATAAATTCAAGAATTAATATATAAATAAATAAAAGATAGAGGCGCAGCTCGTTTCGGATTTAAATAAAAAACAATATAAAAAGGTTTTTACTTTCTATGAAACTCGTTTGCGACAAAAGGCGACAAAAGCGCAATATCAAACGATGGGTTCGATGGGTTCTGGGCTGTGGGTTGTGTCTGCATACCTGTCTCCCAAAGAGCCGAGTAACTGTCAGGCTTAGGCTATCAATTGAGGATTGAGTTGTGTCAGATTATCTGTTCGACAGCAAAGCAAGGAATTTTTGTATGCTTCGGGCTTTCACTTGAAATCGTGTCGAAGCTTAAATACAACATAGAAATATTACATTTGCTTGCAGCTGTAACTAGTTGAGAATTATATGAGAGCGAAATCAAAGCTCATAATCCAATTTGCTGTTGATAGAATCGGAAAGTCTGCTCAACAAAGTATTCTGGCTCTGAGATATGAACTCGAACGAATCAACAATGAATCCCATAATCTTATTACCGCCCACATTCGGATCTACAATTTCTCTTTCGAGCGCGTATCAAGCAGTCGCTCAGGCTGCATCCACAATGGTCTGACTCGTTTTCTTTTAATATATTTGTATGCTGGGATTAAATATCGTAGCAGCTGCCGCATATTTGTGTTGTGTAGGCGCCAACGAAATTAATTTCTGCGTCTAGAAAACAAGAAATCAATTTCGACACACAGAAAACAAAGGGGAGAAGCAGCAGCAGCAGCAGCAGCAGCATCAGAGAGAGTTGAGAGTTGAGGAATGAGAACTGAGAACCAAAACCGGGAGGCTGCGGCTTCCCATTCATGCTCGACTTCTAACAAATGCCTTCTTCATTTTTTGTTCGGGTATAAATAGCGGCGCCTGTGACTTGGCTAATTAGACTTAAAACAAAGTTCGTCAGCAAAGCAGCAGCAGGAATCAGCTCAATCCCCACCAACGAAAAATGTCGAAATTGTTAGCAATTGTTCTGCTGTTCGTCACAGTCTGCCTGTTCCTGGCAAATGCTGCTCCTGCACAAATACTGGATGCACAGACCGCCATCAGTAAGATAATTGGTAAGTGACGGCTCCCGCTCCAGCATTCTCCCACCCGCTCAAACTCTCATCTATCTCTGTCGCCTTGCAGCTGCCTACAACCGCATTCCGGGACCATCGCGAGTTTATCCCGCGGAGGTGGCCACGCTCATCGACCCGAACACGTTTGTGCCTCGCAATTACTTCTTCTAAGTCTGCCTGAAAAGTCCCGTTTCAGTCGGCCTCTGTTGTGTTTACTAGTCTGATAAGAGTTAAAAACTAAATATAAAATTCATTGAATAAACTTATGTAAAACTTAAACAAACAAACAATTTTTTTTACTGGAAATTTGAAAATATCTATCAATTTTTGAAGGTATTACTATTTTCTCTAGATCCTCTGAACAAAAACACACATAAAGGCATTTAAATAAATGTACATGGCAGACCACAAAATTTGACAATATTTGTAATTTATTTACAAGCAATTTATTTTCTATAAATATTAAATCTAAAGCACAAAACTATTTAATTTAATTGATTTAATAAAACAATAATAAACAAGGAAGTTTAACTTTTTCATTTGCTAGTGAGATTTTATAGTTTGAAGTTAAATTAGAAATTGAATAAAAAGTTGAAACAAATTGAGAGCCATAAGCTTGTTTTTTATTCAAAGTTAATGTGCACAATGGCATTTAATAAACATGTGCAAATCGTGCGTTTTAATTTATTTAGTAATTCACACTCATTTTTAATTATAATGAGATTAGTATTATTATTTTTTTATTTCAAAAGTGGAATGAATTTTTATATTTAAATTTATGTATTTTTTAATTAACCAATTAAACACAGGCAATTAAAAAGTTGATTGTTTGAAGGCTTGGGTATTTCCTATCAAGTTCACGCAGAGGGAGAGAGAGAGAGAGATAGAGAATATGGAATTTATGTCTATTAAATAACATATGCAGATCATGTGGAATAACCCGCATCCATTAAGACAAAAGCATTTTACATTTTTGCTTTTAGTTTCGGTTTGGGGTTTGTTTAAAACTGAATTCCATAAAAATATTACGAAAATAATAAATCGAGCTGCTGTCCTGCTGCTCGCTTTGCTGTTGCCATTTGGCAGATTTTAATTGGCTCGTAATCCAATTAGTTTCTGCTACCTTTATTATGGCTCGTTTACAATTATTTGCTAATTAAACGAGTCGCCAGGGCGACTCACAAAAGCGACAAGAGATATATGAATGGAATGAATGAAATTTGGTTGAGGAAATCGTCTCTGTATGACACTGTAGCTATAGATACGATTCACGGCAATCTTAATTATTTGACAAAGAACTCATTCAGTTCAGTTGCTTGTTAAACTACTGCTGCCTCCTTTAAAACACCGACTTGCTACACGTGTAGCCATTTGATCGCATGCATATTTCAGAGCTTAATTTTCCGAGCTGCTGGCGAACTTGTACAAGCATTGAGCGCGCGTGTGTGTGTGTACGCGTGTGTGTGTTTGTGGGTTCGTTCATGCGTGTGTATGCGTATGCGACATCCCCTACAGCAGTTGCACAGCCTCGAAAGCGGATGCAAAATTGTAACTTTGGAATTTTCGCTAAACTAATATGATACCATCGTTAGAGTTAGTCGGATTTAAGTGGAAACGAAAGCGGATCGTGCACTGAGCGAAAATAATGAAAATAATAATATTTTTTTAAATTTTTAAATTGTTTTCTTAGTTTTAAGTGTATTAAAGTTTCCCTTTGTTCTATTCTTGATTTAAGTGAAATTTATGCAAATAAAAATCATTAAAGTATGAATGTTGTAAGATTGGTTGCATGAAGAAGCCCAAGCTTTTATTGTACCCATCGTAAAAATAATCCTTAGAACACAATATACGAATTCAAGCGTAAAAATCTCCGCACAGGCCGCATCTAGCATAAGACTTCTCCAATGACTGGAAGTGGGTCAGGATTGTCATCCTGGCACAGGATTTTATGCCATGAGGTAAATTCAGGTTATTGTTGGTTATTTTGCTTCCATACAGTTGGTATGAAATTTCATTAAAGCTAAGAATGTTTTCTACTTTAACGAAATTTAAGGAAAACCTGCAATAAGGAAATGTGCGGCAGTTGAACAAATAACAAGAAATTTGAAAGCATTAAGAACTTTACTTAATTTGACCTCAACATTTCTATAAAAAAGGCATAAGAAAGATAAACAAGAAACTCTAGAGAAAAGCTTTCCATTTTCCATCTCATTTCCATTCAACTCAACTACTTATAAAGCTTTACTTTCAAAAATCCTTATACACTTATTCACTCCACCTTTTCGCTGAGTGTACTTGTGTGGCATATGCAGCGCACATACTTGATTCAACTTTCTGAATGCACACAAATTGAGCATGAAAGTTTTAAGTTTGGCTGGCCAAGTGGATAGAAATGCGCTTTAGCCTGCTGCAAGATGATGGATGAAGGATGCAGTGACTCGAGCTCAACTTTTGTCGCCATTTTCATTCCTCATCTTCTTCTTCTAGTTGCGAAGAATGTTTACGCAGAACTCGAGCGACAAAGTCAACGGGCTCAACTCGATATGCTGCTGAGAACGGACGGGCTGCCGGACGGACAATGCTGATAGCTGACTATCAAACGTTTCGTATTTATGGCTGAGAGCAATAAAAAGATTTCGCTGCTTGAACATATTGAAATCGACAATGCACACCACGCTGACAGCCCCCTTAAGGTCCATATGGTGGCACGTGTCTGCATATCGAATAAGCTGTTGGCCAACACAATTTATGACCCTTGCAGTTACATGCAACGACATCAGCAATAGCCAGAATAGAAGCAGCACCATATTGACGCAAATCGAAAAAAGAGCTGTCACCTGTCCAATATGCCAAAGGTAAACTGTGTTCGCTCACATATGAATAAAAATCTAATAAAGGAAACTGGGACACAAGGCTAGGATGTACCCGTCAACATCCCGCAATATCTGACAGAAACTGATTCGAATCAATAAAGTGTATAGAGGAAAAGCAGGATCTTATTAAACGCACTCCCAACTTGCCCAACTTGTTTCAAGAAATACATCTTTCGGTCATTCCGCCATGTGTAACGCATATTGATGGCATAATAAAGACTAATTGATTAGGCTAAGGTAATAGCCTTAATAGAGGCAATCCATGACAACAGAAAGACAGCGAGGGAGAGAGAGAGAGAGAGAGAGAGAGAGACAATTCCAGCAGAAGTAGATCTGCTCTTGGTTTGATTGGTCTGTTTACAGCATTTCTTATTAGATAAAGTATCATTAAATTTACTTCGGCACTTTAGTAAGTTACTACTCAACTAGCCTCTTGTTGTTTAGGAAATTGTTGCTTTTACGACTCTCGTCTTAGGTTTTTTTATGGCTCGCCCACATGTTGTCATCCGGCTCGACATATTTGCCAACCAGAATCGCTTAGAAATTCCCAATCGGAATGCTGTACCCCAAAAATAAAACCGAACCCAAACAAACAACAAATAAAACAAATTTCTTCTTCACATGCGCCGAGCATATAAATTTGTTAACAGTTGTTAATAACAAAAAACTGAAAAAAAAAGTAGAAAGATATTTATCTTTATTAATTTGCATTGCAAATATAGATATATGTATGTGTGTATATATAGTCGCATTCATAGCTCGACTTACCTGTAGCTCGCGTTATCTGCTTTTCACTATCTGAACGACGCTTTAATTATGCAAATTGTTGGCGCCAGCAAAAAGTGCTAAAAAATAAAGCGAAACACACACAACGAATAAAAATCTGACATTAACAAATTGAACCGTTAAAAAGCAAATGACAAATTACAATACAATCGAATTTCAACGTACAATCAGATAAGAGCCTATTACGGACCCAAATCCTCGGGCTAATAAAAATGTAAATATCTGGGTGCGATGATGGGTCTTTGAGTTTGTGGTTACAGGGTATTCTAGTGGGGTATCAACTACTTGATCAAGTAAGACTAAGAATGTTAACATAAGTCCGAGTATAGGGTATTTATGCGTCAATCATTGAGGTTTTTGTCGGCAAGGCTTTTCTCATCAGTTGCTACTTAATTCAATAATTATTCGTAAAGTATTAAACGGAATATTAAATTACGCTCAACATTAATTAAACGCCATTAGTTTAATTGCAATTTTTATTGAATTTATAATTGCACATACAAGTCAAGGTTGTTCTGGTTGAGTTTGATCGACTTGGAAATACCTTCTAATCAGCTACATGCTAAGCTCTGTAGTCCTTAAATTGATATTTATCGAAAATTCTGCTTGTATTTAATTTGATATTTATCTATCGATAAATTAAGCACTTACACTATTGACTAGGATATATATTACTACATAACCGAACTATCTAAATCGTAAGTCAATATCTATCGAGCAGTCCTGCTCGAATAGTCTTTCAATTTAACATTTTAGAGAGTGAGAATCTTCTCTTCCACTGTAAGTAAACACAAAGCTGTGTTTGCCTCTTCGGCACACTTTAAACTGCCATAAATGGGAAAACCCAATCTAATGTGGGATATGTACACAAGTGAAAGCCTTTTATATTGCCTCCAGCTCTGTTTGCCCACACTCGTCTCCTGTTGGCTTAATATGAAATTATGATACGAGTGAAATCGAGTCCCGGGCCAAACACAAATTCAGTGTAATTGTATGCAATTCGCCCAGCCGATAATTCAGTCTTTGTAAATATAAATAGTAAATCTGCTTCATTTTACACAGAGTAAGTTTCGACCCAGGCTCTTTGATGTGGGCGTATCAAAGCGAAGAGCTCATAATAAAACGGACACCCAAAAAGTATGCAACAAATATGTAATCAACGAATGCTGAATGAGTGTGTGTGCCCGACAGAGATTAACATTTCTCATATATTGAATATGCAAGTTCTTCAGGCTATAAACGCTCGCAATGCTAATGGAAAAGTTGGCACCAGTTAAAGCAAGCAGCGCAAAATCGAGAAGGAAAAAATTGATGTAAGCAAAAAGGACACACAACAGGATAACTGTCCTACTGAGTGAGTGTGTGTGTGTGTGTGTGTGTGTGTGTGTGTGTTTGAGTGCACGCTACATTGGTTTTGATTTCACTTAAGCCCGGTTGCTTGTTGTTGGCAACCCTTGCAGCAACAGCATTTTATGGCATCTGCAGAACTGGTTTGGCCCCTTCTTTTTTCCGGTATTTGATTCGAATGTCTGATGAAATACTTTCTAGTCTAGTTGAGCATCATGAAATGGCTCGCTTCGGCAGCTGACCTTTGACGTTACTTATGTTAAGTCCACTGCCCAACAGCCTTCGCAGCGACATCAGCATAGTCAGCCTCAATGTTAGCGTCAGCACAATGACACAGACACACACACACACAGAAAGAGATCTACGTTTTATGATGGGCGCTCCATCGAAAGCCTAAGCAGCGAGCAACCCACACAAACGTACACTGAGAGAAATTTATGTGTTGACTGACGAGTGTTACACATAAATTAATAATTCATTGTCATTATCATTGTCAATGCCATTGACATTGCCATTGTTACTTTCATCATAAGTTTCATGACAAATTGCACAACGAGAAAAACTCTTCTTTGAGTGTACTCAAGTAATTAAGAGTACATAAAAAGCACAGGCATTGCACTCTCATTGTCATCGTTATTTGCATTAAAATTGAGAAAAGTCCTTCTCCAAGTGAATTCAAGTAATTGTGAGTACATAAAAAGCAAATGCCTTACAATTATACCCAGTGGAAGATAAGCGCACACACATATACACACACACAAACACACATAAAAAATCAACTGAACTGCGTTGAACTGGGCTTTGGAAGAATCTTGGCTCAAGTAGCTCATTGTTGGCATAATGCGCGAGCAGCACTTAGCACTTGACTGCGGCGTGACCATGGAACAGACAGTATTATTGGCAATGTTATTAGAAGCGCTTAGGCGACGACTTATTAACATAATCATATCACATGCGAATCTAGATATTGTTGACTCAACAACAACAGCGGCAGCAGCAGCAGCAGCAGCAGCAGAAGCGTCAGCGTCAGCTTACAGCCAACAAAGTGAGCCACATCGAGGTCAGGAATCAGTGTGCATAACTCATTATTCATTTGGCTAACAAACGAGGACTCGCAGCGCCTCAAGTTCGCAGCATACACGCGCATGCAAATCGTGCCTTACGCTAACGACTGCGGCTTATCCTTGAACTAGAAAGTCTACAACGTGTGAAAAGCACTTTGAGTAGGGCTTTCAATTTCCAATAACAAGAAATCGATAAATATTGCAGCTGTGCTTTAACACAGCCTGAAATAATAAATATATAAATAATACATTTGTATTTATACTATCGATAATTATCGATTGACTTGCAATTGGCACATCACAAACACAAAATTATGTTAATACAATTCAATATAAAATATTTGATGGCTGCCAACATTTTCTGCCTCGATAACTGTGATTGATTTCCCTGATGGTTAACATTTATTTCAAATTTTTATACACAGTTTTCCTTTTTTTCTTTTTGCCATTTTCAAATCAGAGAAAAGCCTCGATATTTTCTCCGATTTATGGATTCACTCTCAGCTTGGCTGAATAAATGGGCAAGCATTCAACCTCAATAGCAAGCTCGATTTCAGCGTAATTGAAACAGATGTCTGTGGCTCGGCCAAATCTGTGTTTCTCTGTTTACAGCAAATATTAAGTATACGCACAGTCGATTTGTTGGCAAGGCAACAGGCGCATAATTTCAGCGAATGTTAATGCTTCGCATATTTCAAAACAACTTCATCAACTACAAAGGATTTAAACGAAATGTGGGACAAGCTTGCTGTGCCTGTGAATCGACATTTGAATAAAAATATGTGGGTGTAGGTGTGTTGGTATCTGAGTGAAACATGAGAGAATATTGCATAACAAAGCAGAGAGGTGGGTGCGTTTCCACTCCGAATGACTCCACATGATAAACTCGATATGTTTCGTGGAATTGGTGACTTGTTTTCATTTGATCTACTCAAAAATATTCCCTACGTAAACAAATAGTAAAAGGACATATTGTCTGCATAGCAATTCTGGGGAATGGAAATATTTGGATGGCAATATTTAACTGAAAGCATAAGAGATAGTTATATAGAAATAGAGTGAAGAGCTGTACCCAACCGAAGAATTTTTAGTATAATACCATTTCCACATAAGCCCAACCCCCTCTATGTATCTCACTCTCCCTCACTCTTTTGCGAGCACGATATTCGCTAGTACATACCCTAGATACTTTGACGTTATTGTTTGACGGAGCAAAGGAAAAAAATACATAGCAGAAATGTGGTGGGTGTGTCATGCTGACTCGCGTTTAGTGACAAAAAGGAAACCGCAAAGCGAATTCCATTGGCTCATAAATCGCGCGCTCTGTACAGTGGACACGTTGCCCTGGCGACGATCTGTTATTGTGGCGTCAGTTTGGCCCAGCAGCTGGACATGTATCATTAAACATGTTCAGCGAGAAGCGAACATATATCATATTTCCTTATTTTTTCAATTCATTTTTTCGTTCCTGCATTTTGATTTACCAGTTGTCAAGCTTTCTTTATTTCCTTTGAACCCATTCATCAAGGCAAGCGCAGGACCCTGGAGATGACACAGTTGGCCTCTCGCCCCAGCTCGATGTTTGCCTAAAGCCAAGTGAGTTGTTTGTCTAAGCCTGGTGTGCATTGGCCAAGCTAATATTGATACGATAATTATAATAATTGGTTTTGCAAGTAGGAATACACAAATATTACGTAGGGAGTGCCCGACTTGGAGGAGGTAAAGGTGGGTGTACCTGCATTCACTTTCACATAACTATTATACACTAAATTCTCATCTTCAATTGATAAACTAATGAATATATAATAAGCTCTATTTGAATTGAATCACAATACAGTAAGCACACAATCCAAGGCCGCATTATGACACAAGACTTAAAAGGATTCAATATTCACTGAGCAGATGGCACAAGCGGGGTCTGACAGGTAGAAGAGCCTGGGTCTGGCACAGCTGTCGTAAGCTGTGTCGTAATTATTGTGCATACTCTATTATTTATATGCCAATTCACTTGACGTTCATTTACAACGCTTTTAATTTATGCAAATTGAAGATTGTTCGAACAGGTTTAACGTAACGCTCGCAATAATTTGACAACGTCCTGAAGCGTAGTTGCCCCCAATCCCGTGACATCAGCGATAGCAACTTTTAACACCGTCATCTTCTGAATATTTAAATAACTGATTGCAGAGTAGATTACAGTGCGCGAATGCTAAATATAGCGATACAAATGTAATTGAATAAATGAAGTTGGTCCTTTGAATTGAAAAACACGCAGGCAGTGGGGAAAATGCCAATGCAAAGGTAAACTTCATTAACTGTGCATAACAGTTGAGCTCTTCTATGCAATACTCATGAAATACATGTCGTTATAAATAGTTTAACCATTCATTTTACATATACTTAAAGCTAAATACTTTAAAATTTGTTCAAAGCCAAGAACTGTTGTGTTTCAATCTCTTAGCAGGAATCACATACTGAGGCTGAGGGGATGAGAGTGTTATAGTTGCCCGCTGCAGTGTTTGTATAGCTCCTTTGAGGCGGACTAATGCTGAATGCTTATCTTTCGCATCAGCAACTCGTATTTGCTTAATTAGGTGCATCGATTTAATTGCAGCTCAGACCGAGAGCGACCAGAGACGTCTGAGCAA